GTGTCTTTTACTCTAATACCATTTTTGGTTTTACAGTTTCCCCATATTTTCCAATCCTACTTTGTAACTGTTCACACTCCTTTTATTATTCCTGGGATCTCTATTCAAACATAAATGTAATTCACAAGACCTTCCCTGAGCTGGCTCCCAACCAACCCGTCTTGAACCACTTTGACTTTGTCACTTAATTCTCTGGCTACTGATCTTAGTCCGGTTTCTTGTATGCATCTTGCCCATGCTTTCCTGTGGGCCATTACTCGGGCTCAGTTTTCTGCCTGGAATGGTTCCCTAAGGCCACTTATTACTGTCCATCATAGTCTCCACTGTTAGTTTCTGTGGCTTCCACGAGGACTCCCTTCCCAATCTCCAGATTATGTGTGCCGGACTTCAAAATTCCAAGTGCTTTCCCTTAGTAGAATTCACTGCAGTTTGTACTGCTGTTTTCGTTGAGGATGTTGATGATGGTTATTACAATAATAATTATTATTTATTATTATAGACATAGTTTCAAGGCAGAGGAACAGCTGTCTCCAAAGTCAGGCTTTTGTTTCTGTCTTTTTCTTTCATAAAGGTGGACAATTCCTCTTTGTTCTGTTCCAAGTCAATTTAACAATCTCAGAACCCCTGCTCTATGCAATTTACTCCCTGCAGTGGTAGGTAGGGGGAGGAGCTGAAGTTCTATCCAACTTGGGCCCCTCCCCAGGATTCTCGCTGCTCACATCCTAGCTCACGCCACCCTCTTTTCTCACTTGAAACCTGTAATAGTCTTCATCCCTCCCTTGGCTCCTCAGTGCCTTCAGAGAAAAATCTAGACTCCAAGTTGATACATCACTCCCTAATCAGCACTTGCTGTCTCACTCAGCCTTCAGTCCTTGAGCTCTTCTTGGCCTGCTGAGAGCATCTCCCTTCCATGTGTCTGGCCCTTTGGCCAGTTTGTTTCCCTTTCTGAAATTCCACTTCGTATCTTTGTCCCCAGGAGAGTCTGACTGAGTTGTCTTCCCCTCAGGTGCCCTGCTATATTTTTGGATTTGGTGACTTCCAAACACCCTCTGTGTGAATCTCAGAAAACTGTACGATAATAGATAGTACTATCTCTTCCCCACTATGCTCAGCTCCTTGAGGACACAGTGAACCTCCTCTGGGATGTCATTCACCCTTGACCAACTATGGGCATGCTTAAAGCAGGTGATGGATAAATGAGCCAAGGTGTTCAGGTCCAGTGAGCTTGGAATGATCCTTTGGAGGTGAGAGGATTTAAAAAAGGCTTTGCCAGCTGAAGGGCTGTATAAGATCATAAAAATATATACCCTCATTCAATCCTTTAAATGGAAAGCATTCCTCAACTGTGTTATTCTAGTCTGAATAGGGGGATGGAAACTTCCCTTTCAAACATTACCACATGAAGCAAATACTAGGGGTTCAAGGGGGCTGTTTATATTCTTAGCAACTAAATTTCCCACTATATGGTAAGGCCCAAGGAGATAGAAGTCATTTCTTTTTGCAATCCCAGTCCTTAGCACAGTGTATCTTCTAGAGAGAATGCCTTATTTTCCTACTGCTTTGGATAAATTGGACTTGAATATATAGTATTTGGCATAAATATTCTTTAAATGTGATAAATATATAATTTTGAATGGGCTATATGTATGTGATATATATATATATATATATATATAGTTTCTTGGGTTTTTTTATAGATACACTTTAAACGTTACTAAGAAGTCTTTATGCTAATTCTTCAGTAACATGACTAACCCACTATTCTTGGTTTTATAGTCTTATTTTAGAAGTCTGTCATCCCTTACCTGGACAATGAAAAAGTACCCACCTCGTTGATCTTTTTGCCTGCATTATCCTCATTTGAATAGTAGTATATTCCCATCATTGTGCCCATGGCAAGCTTTCCAAAATGCACTTTTGACTGTGGATGTCTTATAATTTCCCTGCATTTGAAGGGATGATGTCTAGACTCCTGAGCATTGAACATAAAGAGCTTCAAAAGCTGGCTTCCCCCAACCCCTCTGGCTCCCCTTCCATCATGTTCCTCCCTGTGCCCAGCCTCCTAAGGAGGGAGAAAAGTCCACCACACCTCAGACCCAAGGTGCACTGTCACCCCTCTCACCCTGTGCTGTCCCATATTCCTCTCATTCTTCTCCATCTCTACTTTGAGTAATCCTGAGTGTTGTCAAGACCTAGTTCTAACTTCCATCTCCTCCTCAGCCCTGTATTGAGATCTATGAATTGGAAAGAATGCTTTGAGATGCAAGTAAACAGACCCTGAAATGCAATGGCTCAAACCCTAAGAGGACTGTAATTTCACAGAACAAAATCATGGTTGATGCAGCTCTATGGTTAAGTCAACACTCAAGTAGGCCATGAAAGATAAGGACTGTATAAATTTCTACTCTGTCATCTTTAGTATGGTTTTGTCCCCAGGTATATTCAGGAGACTTCCCCTCATAACATTCATGGATGGAAGTGCTTAGAGCATATTCATATCTGTATTAGTGTATTAGTCAAATCTCCTGAGAAACAGAAACAACAGAAAGAGAGAGAGAGAGAGAAAGGAAGAGAGAGAGACAGAGAGATATTTTCATTGGGTCATTATTTTGGAGATTGTAAATCCAAAATCTGCAGAGTAGTGTGTAAGGATGGAAGCCGTAAGACGAGTTGATATTTCCTCTTGAGCGCAAAGATTTCTGGATACAGAATTCCCTCTTCCTCAGAGGACCTGAGTTTTTTTTTTTTTTCTCAACTTATTCATTGAGGTCCAGTCACATTATGGAAGATGATTTGCTTTACTCAAAGCCTACTGATTTAATAATATCTCATCTAAGAAAAATACATGCACAGCAACAATCAGACATGTTCAATCAAATAACTGGGTAGCAGGTCTACCAAACGGACACATAAAATTACCCATGGCAACATGTTGTATCAACCCTATTGGAGGCCTGTTATCCTGAGTCATGAGTTCACAGTGTATCTTCTTCTTTAGATTATGAGTTCACTTTGAATAAGAATCAGGTATCAACTGTCTCTTTATTGGCCCCAAACATGATGATCTGTACCTGGTAAGTATTCCATTAATACGATTGAACTCACCACAGTGGGATAGTCTCAAGCCAAGTTAAACTTTCATTTGCTTTTGCTATAGAGCTCATGTGTTTTTGTACAATACAAACTCTGTTGAAGTAACTGATTCACAATTGCTATGCCAACCAGGCTTAGCTGAAAACAAGGGAAATTTAAACTCTTGAACTTAAATCAACATCAAAAGAAAAGATACAAATTATTTCCTGTGGTTAACTAAGGCAGCAGCCAACTCAGAATAGATCATATATAAGAAAAGAATGATGACAGAAGAAAAACATCAAAAAATGTAGGAAAGAGGAGTAAAATCTTGCAGTGACCATTGACAGTTATTTATGGGCATTTTGGTTACTACAAAAGAATGCTCTGGTACTCTAATTCCACACTCATGAGGTACAATAGTATAAGTAGAAATTTAATTTCCAGGACACCTTGCACATGGAAAGCAGATTCCCCAGAGGCAAAACATATAAACATTCTATCTGTTGGAAGGATATTCCCCAATTATAATATCAAATGCCATGAATTTATATAATTTCATATGAATAAAGCTTATGTTGATTGTATTATTTTAAGATTATTATTATTAACCTGGTCATTTCTGAGTGAATTAATCTAGTCCAGTTTCTATGTGGACAGTGCCAAAGACTTGATGTGCCATAGTAAATTTATCCAGGTAATATGTTGATCTCTGAGGCTATTTGGCAGCTAGCTGGCTTTTTCCTGGGTTACTCACTGCCTCATCAGGACTATCTTCCTCCTGTGGGAAAGTTCTATGAAGGCCTATTATTGCCTGATAACAAATGAGAACAGAGTTGTTCAGAGGGGTTTGGTAAATTGCTGAGCTTTGAATAACTCATGCAGTAGATTCGAGAGGAAAACAATGAAAACGAAAGACACAGAGCCCAAATGATCCAGGTGAGCTAGGGCACTGCTCTATCTACTGCCATCACTTACAGAGACTCCAGCTATGCCACTGGCCCTCTGTTCTCAGGGCCTGAGTGGGGCTCATACATTGACTCCTCTGGGCAGCCTGGTTTGTGACCTTCACTGGTCCAATCAGGTAAAAGACCTTCCTCCAGCCTTCCTTTCCACCTTTTCTTTAGCATTCTTGCTCTTTCCCCTGGCTCTCTTCCCATTGGAGTACTAGGAGGATGAGACCACTCTGAGGGTAAGAGAGGTAGGAGAAGGCAAAGATCACCCACCTTGATTCTAAACCAAAGCTATGGTGTGTTTCTGGCTCCATCCTGACTCTGGTTCTCTGTCCTGTGAGCCCATGCTGTCCGAAGCTACTTTGCCTGTTATTTTTAACTGGTGTTTGGCCCGATCTTCTGAGTCCTGACCATTGGTGCTCCTGAAGTGACATCAGTGACAGCAGGTATCCCAGCAAGCTTCACTGCCACAGTCAGTCTTTCCATATTTCCTGTTTCCTTAATGTTAAGAAACAGTCCTTCCTCGTTTAACAAAATGTCAGCAGACAGAACTTCAGCCCCCAATCTTTCATTCCCTCTCTCTGAGACTATTTCCTGTGCATGGAAGGCCTTGTATGTTGCTAGCTGAGATGGAAAAAAATGTGCCCTGGTTAAGTTGTCACTTGTTTTTAGAAAAATAATTTCTCTTGCTGGAGTATTCATCCAATATAAGTTAGCCTCCATTGCCTTTTACAAGAGAGTTTATGTCATACAGCAAGTACAAAATCCCAGAGATAAATTATCTTTCACCAAAATGAGCTTTCATATTAATTATGCATTTTATGCATTATATTTCATATAATGTAATGAATCAATATATGTATACAATGTGAAATGATCAAATCAGGGTGGTTAGCATTCACATCCACTTAAATATGTTTAAGGACACAATTGTTCTTTTAAAAATAAAGTAAATAACAATAAATGTGTGTTTACCTGGAACAAAGCTGCCTTGGACCACCTCCTTGTATGCCCACCAGCCTTCATGGATTTTTGGTGAGTTTTGTTGAGCTAAATAAAGAGCAAAAGAGAAAAGAGACTAAGATGATTGTCTGGAAACACTGGGTCCTGGTTGTCTAAGGAAGAAGGATAAATATCCATAAAATAATCATTTTCTCCCTTAAAGCCATATTATGTCAGCAATCCTCCTTTTTTCTCCCCTTTTAAAAAAAATAAATTATTATATAAATATATTGTCTTAAATTTTTATTAAAAGTACTTGGCTGTGATCGCAGCATTGGGAGACTGAGACAGGAAGATCACAAGTTCAAGCCCAGGCTGGGCCACTTAATGACTTAGCAAGACTCTGTCTCAAAATAATAAATAAAAATTAAAAAGGGCTGGGGATGTAGCTTGTGCAAAGGCCCTGGCATTAGTCACAGTAATGCCAAAAAATAAAAAAAAACCACTTGGATATTTTGATGAGAGGGAAACAGTGATTATATATTTAATTCCCCCAGTACTTGTCTGACTGTTTTTTCTTATCTTCAACATACATACACACACTCATGCAAGCGCACACCCGCACATCCTGCTGGATTTGAGAAGGAAAGGGAAATTACCAGGTGAAAATCCTAAATAGGTACAGAGCCCTTGTGTTTAGAGAACCTGGGAACTAGAGCCAACCTACAAGGCTTAAGGGTGTACCTTTCTTCAGGTCCCCAGAAAATGAAATCCAGAACATAAATAAGCATTCTGGGGCCTTTTGATATATAGGAATAAAGGATAGAGGACTTGAGATGCTGTGAAATATCATAGGGATCTGTAAGGTCATACTGACATGACCTCAAAATAATCCTTCAATTCAGGTGGGCATGTATACCTCAAAGTATAAATGGCATGTAAAACTGAGTTTATGCCTTTATTAATTAAGCTGCACTCATAATTCTGTTCCCAGTCACATTGGAGAAAAATAAGGTAGAATCGACATTAATTGTAATTTGGCATGTATATAGCTAATGTAAGCCTTCTTTGATCATTAATTCTGATATGTCAACTTCATCGGATTAAGAAACACCTAGCAGATTAGTAAAGCACATTCCTGGATGTGTTTGGGTGGGTTAGAGAGGTATAACCGTGAGTACTATATTTGGCCCCTCAACCTTTCCTGTCTGGCATCATTCCCCTGCTTGACTTCCTGTCCTCCATAAAGTAAGCAGTTTTGTTCCACCATACCCTTCTGCCACGAAGTTCCAGCCTCAGAGCCTGCTGACCATGTACCAAATCACCTAAAATTATGAGTTAAATTAAGCCTAATTCCTTCAAGTTGTGTCAGATATTGTGTCTCAGTGATGGGAAAGCTCATGAATACACCTTCACTTAATTTCCTTCTTTAAAACTATTTTTCAATCTTTCTTGTCAAAGTCCCAGCTAGGAAACTCATCATTCTGAGTTGGAGGTTGGGAACAAGATGTTAGCTTCAGGACAAGGATTTTTATAAAGAAAGGATTTGCTAAATTCCCTTAACTTGCAGATGAGCTTACATTGCTTAGCTCCAAGTATCCTTCCTTAGTGTGGAGAAGATATTTTTCTCTGCCTGTGACACTAAGACCCCATGCATGTAGCTATGTCACTGAAGGAGAGTTTGTGACATAAGATTAAAAGGAAATTCACTCTTGGAAATGAAAACTGGGTTAGGGAATATCAGAAACAAGCGGAAGAGGGACCAAGAACCTAGGTAAGGCTCTGTCTAAAAAGCTGTCACCCTTCAAGGTGTGCAGCACAAATCTAGGCAATGTATGTATTAAAGTACACTGGATTTCCTAGTGTTCCGACTCCCCATGTTGTATGGGGAGAGTTGAGAGGTTTCTGCTGCCCTTGAGGGAGGCCCTGAGATAGTGGAGTTGAAAGCCAGTGCTGTGCTCTAGGGCAGGGCACAGGCAGAGGAGGAAGTGACTTCAAAGCAGAGCCTGGAAAGATTCTGCTCAGCCAGGAAGCCAAATGGGAAGTTCAGCTGAGATGCTGGGAATTTATAGTAACAGAGAAAGACCTGGAGATTTGAAATCAGTCAGGAGGCCTTTAGGTGTGGCCAAGTTGAGAAACCAGATCAAGAATTATGTAGTTGCAGTTTCAACAAGTGACTGAAGGAAGGACATCTCTCTGGGGTTGAATGAAATTCATTAGAGTTCACAAAGGGTTCAGAATGTTTTCCCTGGGCTTTGACACTGCATAATTCACTTTCCTTCTCCTCCTGCTGAGTTCCCCCGAGGAGGTCAGTGATTGAGCAAGCCATGAGCAGGTTTAGAAATTCCTCTGCCCAGAGGTGACATTGTGCATTAGGACCTAAGAGCCTTGTTTTGAAACACTCTGGAATGCTCACCCTGACAGATTAAATTTCCAGACAGTACAATCTACCCCAAACAAAACAAATCAAAACTAAACGCTGATATTTCATGAAACTAAGCTTGAGACCAACACTGCCGGTCATGGAGCATGTTCCTTGCCTGGAAAGAGGTAAAGTTCTCCAAGCCTGAAAGCCTTTTTCTGGGAACAGCACCTAACCAGGGTTCATTTTCCTTATCACAGAAACTTCACAGTTTTATCAGACCCACCCAACTTTAAGCAAACAGGATTGCTCCCTGCCAAGACACAAGGTCAGCAATAAATACAGCTTTAGCTTCATTCTCACAGCCAGCTGTTGGAGAAACTACTCCTTTTGTTCTTATTTCACATATAGATATGGCAATACTCAAAAATTTTTAATTTAATGTAAAACCTTTTATCTAATTATTTACAAAAACCATTGTTTACAGTATTTATAAACATCATTTCAAAAACTTAACATGGTGCATTAACTAAACTATAAAGGATAAATAGATGAGATTTAAAATAATACATGTTTCAATGTGTAAAATTTGAGCATGATATGCAAGAACAGAGATTAGTAAACTAGTGCCTGGTCTAGCCAAATATAGCCCATTGCCTAGATTTATATAGCCCAAGAGCTAGGAAGAGTTTTATATTTTGAAGTGGTTGAAAAAAATCACAGAAAAATAATATCTTATGACACGTGAAAATTATGTGAAATTCAAATTTCAATGTGTACAATTTGTGTGTGTGTGTGTGTGTGTGTATGTGTGTGTTACTGGGTATTGAATCCATTGCCTTTGCATTGAGCTACATGCTGGCCTTTTTTATTTTGAGACAGAGTCTTGCTAAGTTGCTAAATTGCTTGAACTGGGCTTGGGCCTGTGACTCTCCTGCCTCAAACTTCCAGAGTGCTAGGATTCCAGGTGGGCTCCATAAGTAAAATTTTTGTTGGTATGTATGCCCATTTAAAAAATATATTGCCTATAGATACCTTCACATGACAATCGCAGAGCCAAATAGGTACAACAAAAACCATTTGGTCTATAGAGTTTAAAACGTTTTTTCTTTGACTCTTTACTGAAGAAAAAGTTGTTGACTGCTAATTTAGACACATAATTTCAGAAAAACCAATACAATGAATGCAATGCTTTAATTGTAATATAAAGGAGATATGCAAGGAACACAATTTACAATAAAATATGTGTGTCAACATGTCAATGGGCATGATGCACTAGGAGATGAAATGAAGGAGTCAGAAACCAAATTGAAACTGGTACAAATAACACCATTGTATTATCCTGGAGATTTCAGAATCAGTGAGTAGTATTGCTCTCAGTGCTGTGATTTTCCAAAACAGAAAGCAACTGTTGTCAAAGTTCAGAACAAAATAAAATACTACCTTCTCTTGATTTATGCAGTATTTGAATTGTTGAAGAATGGGGTATATTAAAACTTTGAAAGCAATGCTTTGTGTTCATAGGCAAAGTGTAGTTTGTAGTTTCAGATAAATAAAACAGTCTTTCACTACTTGAATGTTTGCTAGGTCATAGGAAGATTTATCATTTTTTGGAGTTGTTTAATGTATTGCAGAGCATATAGCATCTCTGTCCCTTTCAGTTGATCCTAATTGTAACTGCTTTCATCATAACAATCTTGAGAGCCCTAATTTCCAAAATATCCCCCAGAAACATTTACAATAAAATTTATATGTCCACATATCAAGGGGCACAATGCATTGGACAATGAAAGGAAGGAGTTGCAGGCTTGATCAGAGCAGGTGATCAGAAGGGGTGAGGCAGTGTGGAAAAATGAGAACGGAAAGATAATTGACATCACAATGTCAAAAAGGGAGAGCTAACGTTGATAAAATCCCGAGTAAAATGAGTCGGGTTTCAGATTTTTAAATGCATTCATATTCTGCCTTTCTCTTTTGCATATGCACATACACACTTGACACTTGTGTGCACGTACACACACACCTGCACACAAACACACTTATAAGGAAGAACTATCCGTCTGACCAAAATGTCAGTTTGAGAAACATCATTTTAAAGGGAGAAGAAAAAGAAGCCCCTGGATAATTAAGAGTGTTGCAACGGAAAAAAAAGGTCACAGAAATCTTCTCTCCACACAGCAAGTTGGAAAACTTTTCACTTCCATCATCCCCAATCACTGTTTAGCTTTCACATCAAGAAGTGGAATGATGTCAGATTTTAGCAGGTGACAAGACAATCAGGCCATCTGAACAAAGCCAGTTGCGAGGGTGAAACCGCAGGACTCCTGTTATCTTTCTCTGTGCCTTGTGAAGGACCGAATTCCCCCCCCCCCATCAACCAGCCTGAGAAGAGCCCACGTGATGTCTGCCAATTACAAGCTGTGAGTGTTGCAAGCTGACGTGGAAGGAAATGAAGGTGCTTTGTGTATGATGCTTCCCAAGCTCCCTGGACGCCCAGTCTGGATTCACACTGTTTGGCATTTAGAAAGACAGGATAGTGCGTTTAAAAGGCACCTTCTTTAGAGTTCTGTCACTGTCACAGTCCTATAAGAGGCTGATTTAGATGGAGCACCTAGAGATTCAGGACACCAAATTTAATGCCTTCTGCCAGGTCCTCCAGTCGTTTCGTTGTTGTTTACATCTGATTTCCAGTGAGTGCAGAGCTGATTGAGAATTCCTGAGAGCAAACAGGTGAACAGAGAGCAGC